CTTCTTTCTAGATAAGCATCGGCACAAAGCGATAACCAACAGTGAAAGCAAATAATGTAACTTTCAGAAAAGTCGATTCTTTGTCTGCCATCCAGAAAAGGAGTTCACAGCTTTCCTGCTCCACGACAAAAGAGATAAGATTTGCTTTCGGCTGAAGATAAGGATGACCGACTCCAATCTATCCAAGACACGCCTCCTGTCTTCACAATTATCTCTTTTGATTTTAAAATTTGTCTATAAAAGGGAAAGTTTCACCCTTGTTGAAGCACGTATAATTTTAATCTTTCTTTTGAGCATCTCTCCCTCTCTTTCTTGTAATATCAAGTAGTTATACTGCAAGTTTGAAGAAATAAAAGTATTTTTGTATCTCTATCTTATGCATGCCTGTTGAATTACTTGCTTTTTTATGTGATATATTATAATTTCATAAGTATCGTTGTTCTTTATATTTAAATTTATTATCAAATAATTATTTACGACCATCTATAATACCAGTACTTGAAGAGCTTGATCATTAGATAGCTCTGACAGAACAACAAATTCAAGAAAAAATCTACCATTTGGCGGCCTTGGTTAGGCCTCCTTCCCAACAGTAGGAAAGCTATGAGACCAGATATGGCATAATTAGAGTTTAGTATTGTAGGGGGGTTCAAGATTAGGAAGGTGATTAGAGAGGCAAAACTATGCTAATGGTCCAACAATGGTGGAAGTGGCTAGAAAATGAGTAACAACAACTATCTGGGAGTTAGAGAGTGTGTAGCTAGGTGAGGGTGAAGCAAGTGGCTCAAGAAGAAATGCATGACAGTACCAAAATGGGCAGCATCTCCCCCAAATCTCCAAAATTCCTCTCCTTGAACCTTGGGAAATGGGTTCTATTTATAGGCTTTTCCTTAGTACCAAGAGGACACCAAGTAGCCAAATAGAGAGTAAACATGTGTCCTAGAGGATCGCATGGAATATTATGCCTTGAGCCACTAGGCTGAAGGTGCCACGTGTCCCTCTGCATGTACCGTGTATTATCTATTTGCCTTCTCAACTACCTTTTTTGAGCCTCAGCAAGTGTAGTTAAAACGGGAATGTTTGCCTCTGCACTTGCCTTCTCAGCCTAAACCTCAACAAGTGCACTTGAAGCGGTGAACCTTGCCGTTGCACCTTCATTCCAGTTCTATTTGGCCAGTACATGCATTCTCAGGACTCTATTAGCCTGTTATCAACTATGTTTGTGCTCACCTCAGCCAAGCCTCCACCCTTAGCCGCCTAATCACAAACTCCCCAATTTCCCACGGCGAAGGCCATAGACAAGCCTGTTGTCAGCCATACTGTGCCTTAGTACCAAGCCCAATGAGGCTTCCTTACTCCTGCCTGTGCAACTAAGGCAGGTCCATGGGCACAGCACCAAGCCCAAGGGGGCTTCTTTAGTCCTGCCTGTGCGACTAAGGCAGGTCCATGACCTAGGTAATGGAAAGGGAGTCCTTTATGCTCGGTCTACCTTGTTCCCATCTTCGCGGGATTGTCGCGGTAAACTGGTATCTCTGGGCCTGCTATCAGCTCCAACTAGTAAGTCTTGGGGCCTGCTATCAACGCCAAGTTAAATGAACTTTGGGGGCCTACTATCAGCGCCAAGCATTAGCCTCTACTTACAGAGGGAGGCCTCTTTCAAAGGCTGCTATCACCTTGGTAGGATATTCCCTCTGCAACTTAGTTACTGCGGTAATCGTTTCCCATGGCAAGTTTAAATGGTAGAATCAACAATATTGGAGATGGCGGCGCTGACAAAATGCTTCCACAACTTGGACGTTGCAAGTACTACCTCTGCAACTTAGTTGCTTCGGTTTTCTCCTTCCCTCAGCAACTCCAGATAGCTGTGGTCCCGACATCACTTGGAATGACGACGGCATCGACGTTACTTGAAATGGCGGCACTAGGACGAAGTGCCTCTGCAACTTGGCCGTCGCAAGTGTTGCCTCTGCAACTTAGTTGCGTCAGCTATTTCTTTCCCTCAGCAACTTCAGACGGCGGTGGAGCTGAAGCTATTAGGAATGGCGGCGCTGAGGCAAAGTGCCTCAGCAACTTTCCCGCTGCACATGTCCCTCCGCAACTTCATCGCTGCAGATGCTGCCTCCGTAACTTACCGTTGTAAGTGTTGCCTCCACAACTTGACTTAGGCATTTTCCTTCGTGGAGTTTGCTTGGACCCTTGGTGGGTCGGACCTATTTCTACCCATTGTTGGCTCACTTCCCTTAGGCTTTAGCCTATGCTCCTTTTTTCATTCCTGGTCGCCTCAGAGGAGCGAGCTCAACACTTAGGTCTATATTTAATTTGGGGCTTAATTTCTGACCCTCTACAAGTATAATCATAATATGGGTCATAGTATTCCTGGGTTTGTGCTAGCTAGGGACTGATCAGATTGAGGGTAAGTGGGACGTTACCCAAGTCGTGTATGGGGTTTTAGGGCCACTGTTGTAGTGATTGCATTTAGCCTTGGTTCCCAGTAAGCTATTAATAGACGTGGTTGTTCTTATCCTTGTGTCAAGTACCTAGTTGGTATTGGAGCCATGTTTATTCCAGTTTATATTATGTTTATACTTTACTTAAATTATACATATATGGTCACTAGTAAAACATGAATACTGAATCTTCAGCAATCACTACAGTAGCTTCTACATCAGAAGCAACAGAACTTGTAGCTTACCAAGATGTGAATGAAGCCCTAGCCAGATGGACAATTCCAAATGTCAAACTAGATACAATTTATAAAATTGAAACTTTTGATTTTACTAGTAAAAGGCTGATTAAAACTTTTGAGCATGATGCTCCTCTTCAGAATAATGATGAAATCATCAAATTACTTTATATTTAGGATCCTGCACTTTCTTTAAGAAATAAAAATATATCTACATAGATTTAGTTTAGATAACATTCAAGCCTTTAACTTTGTTAGGCCAGAATACCAGGATCCAATGTACTCTTAGAGATGGCAGGTGTCTTAATTAGGAAGCTTCTCTTACGGGAGCCATTGAAACTAGTTTATCTCATGGACCAGTTTATTTTAATATATATCCCAATTTAAGTGTGTCACTTTTTGACCTAAATCTTTCAAAAGTCTTAGAACTCCTCTTACTCAAGGTTATGAGTATCTACTAGGTTCACCTCCATTATTAGCAATTTTTAAGATTCACTTGACAGACATACAGTCTTGATAGACACTAACCTATTTAACTATCAGGTAGCAATCCCCAGAATGATACCCTGGTGTGATATTACCTTTCCAAAAAAATGAAAAATACCAAATGCTATTCCTGCAAGACCTATTGTAATCAAACTCTTGACCAGGTCATCCAGACACAAGGAGGAAATGTGTATCTCTAATTTTGTCGTCCTTTGACTAGAAATATGTCTACTACTAGCTCCAAGTTCACACCATATTATAGGGTAAATTTTACCCGACTTTTCTAGACAATTTACTTCAAAACCTCCAAAATCTATCCTACAAGGTATGCCTCCCAGACCACATAGCGAACCTCCACTAGAATCTATAATTCAGGGAATTCATATATCTGAAAACCAAATACCTCATGGAGTGTATAAAACCAGTAGGCCGTCGTATGATAGGGAAAACCCTACGGCCAGCGATATGAATTTTGAGATTTAATGGATTTTACACCAGGTAGTGAAACTCGTCATCTTATCAACCAAGAATTCATGCAACCTAAATACCAGGAATTTCGAAAGGGGTACTTTAGCTATCACAGTCCTCAACAGCTTGAACGATTAAAAAATCAGTATTACTTTCATTTAGAAAGGCAACAGAAAATTATTCCTTTTCCTGAGTGGTATTTTGAATTTGCCACTGTCAGGGACCTTCTTCTAGAACCACAGCTCAATGTCTTAGACGAATTACACAAGACTTGGCTGACAACAGAAGGAAAAAGAATCAAATCGATACATCGTCCACCACAGTCTTTAGAGCTAGCACCTAGCTTAGCTTCTTGTTCTAGTGTTTCGTTGGTTATTACCATTTTTGTTAGACCAACTGATACTCTAGAAAAAGAGATCCTGTGAAGGTCACTGAGCTTACTTCTCTTATTAAATAGAGTAATTATGCCAACCTTCACCTTCAAATTGGAGGAAAACAGTTAACCAGAATCGGATCGTCTTAGAGAAAAAGCCCAGGTTGCTATCCCGTTGATGACTCTTGGTTCCATATTGAATTCAACAGGTGTGTTACCTTGAGAACTTTGTGGCATGTTACTTGTAATTCTTGATATTCAGATTATGATGATGATTATTCTATTGTCTATTTGCATTTTGAGAGATATTGATATTTTTAATTATTAAACTATGAAACCTTATTTTCTAATCAGACTATCTTTATCAGAATTGTATGCTAGTCTAGTTTTCGTTATATAAACCTTATTTTGAACCTGAACCCAGTTTGTGAAACTGTATTTACTATCTATATTTCTACTCACTGAACTATTAACTGACTTAGTTGTTTAATATTTTCAAATGAGAGTAGGACTTAGAATTAGATTCATAACTCGCCAATGACTTTATTAAATGGACCTCTAAGACATTTATTTATTTATTTTTAATTAGTTTTGTTAATTTTTTGCATATATTTTGGTTGGAATTTATTTTAAGATTACTTTTGTTGCATAGGCTATTTGTGTCCCATTTGGTATATGGATGGAGTTAGTTAGGGTTGATTTGTCTGACTTACAATTGTTTTGGTGTATTTATATCAAGAGACTATCATTACTTTTATTCTATATGATTATGAATTTATATTTAGGTTTATGTGCGCCTTGGGTTAAAGCTATGTAAGCCATGACCGATCATATCCAGATTTAGGATGTGACATCATGTGTAAACCACACATCAAATTTTCAATAATATAGGATAATGCTTATCTTGAAAGGATCCTCGGAAGCTCAATTTTGTTAACACATACAACATAAAGCATACTACACTGAAAGATCCAAGCAACAATTGGGGTATACTTAAAAGTTTTGAATTCAATATATTTTTTATCTTCAGCAATGTTATTATACAATTTATCATGTGTATGTATCCAATTAATTCATATAGAAAGTCTCCCCAATCAGCCAATACACATCACCCCCTTACTCAACCTCCACCACAGCCAAATGAGCTCAATAATGAAACCAAAAATCTAATACAAACTACCAACTTATGCAAAAAAAAATGGGAAAGGGCTACAAGAGTTTACAAGGGAGACCAAGATTAGAGAAAAAAAAAAAAAATGGTATGTTATAGAAGGAGACACAAAAATCCAAAATAAAATTGAATTATGTGATGAATGGGAAAAAATGGGCCGAGGGACGTGTGTTAAGAGCGACGAGAAATGATACGTGTATAGAGGAACTCATTCCACATATCGGGCACGCCTGGGAGGCACCAATGAATACAATCTGCAAAATTTACTGGGTCGGCTTTTTGCTCATCCGTTAGCATCTTCCCTTGACGGATTGTATAGACCGAGGTATGTGCATCTTTTCGGTACTCTGAGAGGGTGGTTATGTTGATGAAATGCACTGGAACTCTTTTCATCGACCGTGTCACATTCTCGGCGATCACAAAGAGCCGGCGGTCCGTACCCACCTCGAGTGGCATTGACATGTTCGTGATTGGTGTAGTCTCCAAGGCACATTTGATCCCATTGGGGTTTTCCCAATCCAAGCTCCTAATGTTGACAATTTTTACACAAATTCAGTATTCAAAGTAATTAACATTATTATCATTGATAGCACTTCAAAAGTATTATTACTTGATATGAAGTGGAGACATGCTCATGAAGAAGACTGTGGTCCGATTGGGATTCAGATTTTTCTCTACCCACTTAGACCATGTCTTCAAAACCTTTGCATACGCTATGGGCCGATCGATCTCATCATACTCGGTTGCCCCTTCATCAAATGAACCTCGTCTGTTTCAATCAACCCCCAAAAATGAAAAATCAACCCCATTAGTTCTCTAAAAACACATATTTCGATCTCAAACTGAGAAATAAATTGAAACCAATCATGTGATCAATTAGGACAGAACACATAGATTGGTTTCTTCTTATTTCTCAATTTGGACACCATTAATCAAAGAAACAAATATGGTACTTACAAAACTTTCATGCTAAAAGTGTTCATCCACCAAATGTATGTGTTGAAGACAAGGTAGTCCACATTCTTCCAGTTTTTGCCATGATTTTTGATATAGCCAGGCATGATGATTCGGTTCAATATGCTGTGCATGGTGGGGTCATCTGAATTTGATCTCACCAGAAATGGGGCCCAGTAAAACTCCACTGTAGCATTATAATCCTGCAAATCAAAAATTCACATCAAATTAATGTTTATTTTTAATTTATTATGAACAATTCTTAAGCAACCAATTTTAATGAGACTATTATTCAACAACTATTGGGTGAAAGTGCCTAGTCAAGAGCTGACTAGTCTGTCATTAAATTAGGTACTGATAATTAACTAAGTAGAATATGTATCAAAGTCCGTCTAAAATATTATTTTTATTGAATTTAATAATTAAAATATATATTATTATAATGAATGATTTTATATAAAAATTATGAAATAATAGTGTTTTTCATAAGTACACGTAAATGCTATGCAACCAAAAAAATACTCAACTGTGAGAACCTGTGTACCTAACAGGTTACGGATTCAATTCCATTTACCTCCAATGAATCAAAAAGAAAGAAAAAAAAAATCATACAGAATTTCAGTTGATCGTGTACTTGTAATTCAGTGTGTTTTGGACCACATCAAATACAGATAAAAACTAATTGGAAAAAGAAAAGAACAATATGATTGTCAATTGTGGTCCAGCAAACATGTTTAATCGATGGTCATTTGGACCTTATCAAAGAGAAGTTATTAGTTGGTGGACCCTGTTACTTCAAATGTATTGTGATTGATTAATGTTGTGTTTGGTTAGTTGAGAAATTTGGAGAGAGATTTAGAAAAAGAAAAAAAGTATGTGAAATTAAGTGAAATATAAGTATATTTTATTTATATTTCACATTCTTTTTTTATTTTTCTTTTCAAATTTTTTTTTTTTAAATCACCGAACTAAACACAACGTAAAGAAGTAAGACTTATGATTTTGTGTTAAATAATTAGATAGTATGATGAGTTAGAGTAATTTGTGATTGCTAAGAGCAAAACCACATGTCCCTAGACTAACCAATACTTTTTCCCTATCAAATAATAATAATAATAATCATCAATTAACACTCTGACATTTTAGAATCATTAGAAACAATACTTTGACCTTTTCTGAAAGATAAAGCAAATTAGAGAGAGAGAGAGAGAGAGAGAGACCTCAATTCTAAAAACAGAGAGAGAACCGGTCTTCTTCAAGCTCTTCCTGCCTGGAGGAACAACAGATTGAACCAGACAAACCATGGACTCCCACTGGTTTCTATTCAATGAGTCCCCAACAAACATTAGCCTCTTCCCCCTCAATTTCTCAAGAAACAATCTTGCTTTGAACCTTCAACCAATCAACCACATACATTTATAAAAAACACACAATCACACACACACACACACACACACACACACTTTCCAATTCAAGAATCAGATTCTTACTTGGGCATAGAGCAATCTCTGGGCTGCCATTTCCAATTCTGGTACAGAGAATCCTTTCTTCCATTCCTCATGCAAGTCACTTGTGCTGTGAGGAACTCACAATCATCTTCTCTGTATATCGGATGACTCACATTATCGAAAACCCACTCTCCGGTAAACAGATCACAATCCTCCGGCGGCAATTCAACCTCTTCATCGTCCTCTTCCTCCACTGGCAATTCGATTATCTTCTCATCTTCTTTCTCTTCTTCTTCTTCTTCGCTCGATTTCATGTTCAGATTGATCGCACTCGTCTCCTCTGTTTCTTCACGACTTGTCTCCACTTGGGTCTCCACTATAGTTCTTGAATTCATCGAAACTGCTCTCAAATCTTCGTTTTCGGTTGTTTCTTGAACTGGGTTGTTTTGGACGGACTGTTGTTTCTGGATCTCTTCAGCTTTTGGACTCGAAAATGGAAATTCAGCAATCGATTTCACGTCTTCGTTGTACATGAAGCATCCGAAGAGGAATATAGAGAACACCACCACGAACACAGAGAGATTGCTGCCTTTTCGGGCTCCGGCGCCGACGCTGGCGTGCTTCATGGCGATGAATGTTTCGGTGGAAAACAGGGGTGTTTTCCGGCGTGGTGGCTGCATGAGAAAGAGTTGTGAGAAAAACGATAGAGGAGAGAGAGAGTTGGAAATATAGAGAAAGAATCAAAGAAAGCAACATATAAGAGAGAGAGAGAGAGAGAGAGAGAGAGAGAGAGACTAACATGAAGAATTAGGTTTTGTTTAATTAGGTTAGGTGAGATGGGTTTGTTTTGAAGAAACTGGTTTGGTTATGGGTTGCTGAATAGTTGCTATCCTTCTCAGCAGAATTTCTTTCAATCCATGTCTGATGACTTCTCTTCATCGATCTGTTGAGAGAGAGAGAGAGAGAGAGGAGTGATTTCAAAGCTTTCGCATTGCAAGTTGATGCTTTACTCTTTGGGGGAATTTGTTGTTGTGAAGAATGTAAAGACTGTTGGAGCGAATGTAACTGTTTATGTGAGTAACTGTCACACCAGCTGTGCGCTATGAGGCCCATGGAATTCCATTAATTTCAGATAATTTATTTATCAAAAATGGTTAGTAGCCGAGAAGGAGGGCCTCGAATGATATTGGTCGGATGTTTGTTTGTTCGGACGATTGGATAAAAATTTGTTTATCGTGATTGTCAATTTTCTCGTTGGATGACCGGTCGGACATCCGCTCGGTCGATCGGCAAGATGAATTTCGAGCCATTCGAGTCAATCTCTTTTTCGGACTACCAAACATTGCTCTTTATTTATTTTGACCAATATTAGAAAAAGTGGTTATGAAACATTGTTTAATATTAAAATTTTTGTAAAGACCTTTCATTTTTTAAATTTAGTGATGTGTTAAAAAGATGATTAGTTTATAATTAAATATTTATTAATTATTAACAAATTATCTTCCTGACACATCACTAAATCTAAAATGTGAAATTGTATATTTATGTGTCATATTGGAGATAATCATAAATGGTGACACTTATTACAATAATGATAGGGTGATATATGAGGTGGTACATAAAGGTAATTAATCTATCATTACTCTTTAAAAATTGTAACAAGTTAAAAAATTTGTGAAATGAAAATTGTTTTCATTTGGTTTGAAATGAGTCCTGCTATAAACAAATTTATCTCCATGAAAAATATTAATAAATAAATAATTTTTTGGGGGGACAAATGTAAAAGAAGCGGTAAATATTAAAATTTGTATAAAAAATATTTTAAAAATTAACAAGTTAAAAAATATGAAGTTTAATGGAACTTATTTTGAAATTAGTGAAAAGTATAGCAATTTTTTGTAAACAAATATCAAGATAATTATTTTAAGGATAAACTACACTCATTTCCCTTAAAGATTTGAGAAAAATATAATTAACTTTACACTTTTGATATAATTAAATTAATCTCCCTTGAAATTTTAATTCACATAATAGTTAAGTTATTTTTCATCAATAATTTATTACTCTTATGAATGAAAAAGACTCCCTTTTTCAAAAGCTTGAAGCCCGATTAAAGGAGATGACATTGAAATATTGGTAAGCTTCCATTTGCAAGGTTTTATGCCTTATCCCAGTGAAAATTATGGGAAGTGAATTTAGATTATTTAATTTCATGAAAAGTCAAACAGAGATGTTTTTGTTCAAACTTCAAATTGAACAATCATTTCATGACATTAACACAAATGTATGTGAGTTGCTTGCTGGCTGGGTTAGTTTCTAATGGCTAGATAATATCACAGGCATTTCAAAGATTCTTGTTTTTATCAGCAACAATAAATTCAACTAATTTATATTTATATTTTATCAACATTAGAGTACCGAGTAATATTGTGGTAAAACTTTAATCATCATTCATCACTTTATATTGTTCAAAGCATCAAAACTCTATGATTTTGAAAATAAGTATGGAGTTTTGAGTTGGACTGGTTTTCTTGTGATGTATTTCTGATTGTTAATACTCTTAGTTCTTCTATGTCCTGGGTATGAGTTTTGTTTTTATTTCTATTTGCATTTTATTCCTAAGGCATTTATCTGCTGAATCTTGGTAGGAATTTCCGTTGCGGATTGATTGGTTATCAGCAAATGAAAAAATTCCCACCAGCACCCAAGCCTTCTCAGAAACCACGTTCATTTAGGGCACATAGCTTCATTGAACAACCTGTGTTAGTGAATCACAGGTCCTCTGTAACTGACAATGCGGGACCACTTTCTTCTGCAGTTGAATCTTTTGAAGCTGGAAGTTCTATGGCTTCCGCCTAGACCTTGGGAATTGATTGCTTCTGAGAGTGGTATCTCTCACGGCTTCGAGGCGACGATCTCCGACCACTGTCGAAGTTTCTTCAGAGCGTTGATCCCCCGATTCCATCACATCTCCTCCTCCTCCTTCGTCCTCATTCTCTGCCACCACTGCACTCCCACTGTGTTCACAGCTCTGTCGAGACCACGGTTCGTGGGTCTAGACGTGTTTGAGCAAGAACAAGTCTTGATAGCTGCTCACGAGGATGAAGGAAGAAGCTAGGGTTTGGGGTTGACGTAGGAGAGAAAGAGAGCAGATAGTGAGAAGAGGGAGACTTCTTAAATTTCTCTGTGATATATGAGTTTGGGTTGAAGGACTTTAGACATCAAAAAATAATTTTGTGGATCTCTTCCATTACGAAAAGTGGGAGAGGGACCCTAGACTAATTTTCCCTTAACTTTATACTTTGGATATAATTAAATTAATCTCCCTTGAAATTTTAATTCACATAATAGTTAAGTTATTTTTCATCAATAATTTATTACTCTTATGAATGAAAAATATTGTTTTCATTTTTTTTTATTTATCAAAATATGTATTTCTTTTTATTTATTATCCATTATCTATATTAGTTTCGGTCGTTTAACCTTAACTAAAATGGAAATCAATATGATTATGTCAAAAGGATAAAATTAATTACATTTTTTTTTCCAACTTTTGGAGATGTGAGTGTAATTTATCCTTATTTTTCTAATAGGGACTAAATAATCTATCTTTGTTGATGACAAAGATTGACAAACCTTTTGATCTTTCAGTTCATAATATCTAAGAGTGACCAACAGAATTACTCTAGTTAATCGTCTTGCAAAAATGGTTTGGAAATTATTAATAGGTGAATGAGAAATTGATTCTAAAGTGCACAATTTAAGTATGGTTTTAAGAGAAAATTTGTTTAATTTAAAATTTAATTTTCATTTAAATAGATATATTATTGCTTGGTTCAAAATTGAACCAGATTCGATACAAAATTTGAACCCATTTGTGACAGCAATCATGTCTATTCTATTGCACATATTCAAAGGAAGAGTTGTCTCTTCATTGAAAAGTCGCATTGACCATTCGAAGAACTATCAATTCACTTAGTAAAAATAGGCAGTCCCATTGCATTCATTTGGCATCAAATTCATCTTGTATTTCTTTCCTTCGACACTCTATCCTTTTTGTAAAGGAATTCTGCACAACAAGGTTTGCCAGACTTGCAGTGATAGTGCTATTTCTGCAAGGTTTGATCATTGTATTTTAGGAGATGAACGTGTAATAAAAAATTCGTGAACACAGTAGCGGGGAATGAATTTGTCTTAAAAATATTATGTCCACTGCAAGTCTCGATCAAATTATTTTTTGTTTCCTGATTTATACAATCTATTTGTAATATTTTTGATTCTCTGTATATGGTTTGATTTGATTTTACCCAAACAAATTAAGTTATTGTCAACTTCTATTTTTTATGTAATTTAGTAATATTTTTAGTACAAGGTACTATCTCAACAAATCATTTCTCGTTAAATATATATATATATATATATATATCAATTGTAAATATATATATACTAGCGTATGTCCGTACCTAAAGGTACGGTGTAAATAATATTAAGATTAAAATACAGTTATAAAATATATTTAAGAGACTGTACTCTACAATTCCAAACAAATCAAATATAAAAAAAATTAAATATCAAATAATGCATACCAGCCAATGCTCTGCAATGTAAAAGAAATTAAAACTAAAATGCAAACCAGTTAGTGCTACTGCTGCCAATCAAATTATAACTACATAAGAAAAATAAACATTATATTGTCATGCACCAAAACAGTGGGTTAAAACTTTATTAAAAAAAGTGGGTTAAAACTTTTCAGAATATGTATGCTTTACAAAAGATGTGTCAATAACATGTCTTCAAACATGTGTTTGTCCAAACTTCCTCCTCAGTACTTTCGAAAAAGTCTTTGTATCAACTTGTATGTATCCCCAATGAGGAACATGCATAACATAGAAGAACCAAAGTAATGAAACTCAAGGATCTCAAACCTCAAAAATAGGTTCTAAATGCTTCTTTGGAGTCATTTGCTGTTGCTGAAATTCATGAAAATTTGTAGAGCATTATTGCAATAATAACAACAAAAGAGTAATTCCAATTTCAAGTGTAAACATAACAAATTGATTAGACCAACTCTCCAAAGCTATTTGAAATGAAAAATGTTACATGAATCATCCTAAAGTACACAACATAGAATAAACAAAGTATTGTGAACCACTTTTGTCAAAAATAAAAAGAAAAAATATGAAGAAAAATAAAAGAAAATTTAGCTCCTCTAGTGAATTAAATGTGAAATAGAATGCTTATTACACAAAGTCATAAAGCAAACTGCAAATAAATTAATAGTACTTAAAAAAAAAAACAAAAAACTTACAATTATGGTTGCTAAGCCTACCCACCATCTGTGAATTAACAATCGCAATTTTTACTACTCAAACAATACCTAATTAACATATCCTCTCGGATCACAATACATAATTATTAACTCCACACCTAGGCCAAACAAAAAAAAAATTGAATAGGAGAAAAAAAAAAGTGGAAAAATACCAAATAGAAATATACCAAACAGAGAAAACTACATAATCATTCTGTTCTGGAGAGGTATTTTTGAATTGGGTAAGAGAGAGAGAGAGAGAGTAGTAGAATCTCAGATAAGCTCATCATCTAATTTTTTATTTTCTAGAGAAACAAAAAAAGAGAGTAGTTTTTGGATGTAGAAATGGTGGAGACTATTAAAAAAAAAAATTTATGCTCTATACTAAATAATTTTGTCGACCATATAAACATTGCATGGAAATAAAATCTGTAGATATTGGATCAAATCTGTCAAGCATACATAAATTATGAAAACAAAATAATTTTGTTCTAGATGATGAAAACAATTTTGTTCATGATAGTAAAAATATAAAAGTTTCTGAGTTAAGCTCTCAATTTGGGCCCATGAAAGTGGTGGCCCTTTAAATATTATGCAAGCAAGCCATATGACATAATTGAATGTGCATAACAACCAATTATTTGAGATGTTCCTTCAAGGTAACAACACAAAATTACACCCATAGTAGCTGACTTCAGTCATGGTATTAACTGGAAAGGTGTAATTTGATTTGCAGGGTTTACCACTGGTTTCAATTTGATAAAATATGACATAATTGTATATGCATAATAATCAATTATTTGAGATGTTCCTTCAAGGTAACAACACAAAATTACACCCATAGCAGCTCACTTCAGTCCTGGTATTAATTGGAAAGGTGTAATTTGATTCCTAGGGTTTACCATTGGTTTGAATTTGATAAAATATGTTAATTAATTTCATCACGTTTATCGTTAAGAAATGAACAGTCTATTATAAAATTATGCTTATCATTTATTTTTTTTAAATCAAATATGATAAAAATCATATAAGTACAATTTTTATATAAATTATTATTTTTTCAATAGATAATATATCCAAAAAAATCCTACAAAATGAAAGACTCGCGTCATTAAAGTAAGACGCGTGATGAATTTCACAAGCCAAACTACAAAATTAGATGATGAGCTTAGCTCATAATTTTTTAATGCTCTACACTAAAAATAATCATATGAGCTAATTATATGTTTTCATCATCTATATACCATGTACAGAAAATTAAGAAAATATAACGCACACACATCTATTCTATCATTGAACAAAATTGTTTTCATCTCTGTTACTCTGGATATATGATCAAGGTTTAGAAAAAAAACTCTTCTGGATATATGATCAAAGCCACAAAACCATATTGAAATCGAAAAGCCAAATCAGATGTTTTGTGTTCCATTGAGAAAGAAGGCCAAGAAAAAGTTTGGGTTGTTTGTTCTATGGTGGGCTCCATCAAAAAGTGGCTGTCCTTGGACTTATAATTTTGGGTTTTGATGATATGTTGCAACCTGTTACATTGAAATTGAGATCTCTATTTCTTGCCACAAATGGAGAGGAGCCAAACCAGAGCAGCTAAATAAGCTTATCTGTCAATAGGTTTAAGTTAAGAATTGCAAAACTCACAATATTTTTCTCATATATGATAATATGAGCACAAATGGGCTTTTCTGTCACATATCCAATGAGATATATATGTAATGCATACATGCATGTGCATGTGCATGTGTGTTTTGAAAGTAGGATAATTTTGGGTTCTGATGATATGTTACAACCTGTTACATTGAAATTGAGATCTCTATTTCTTGCCACAAATGGAGAGGAGCCAAACCAGAGCAGCTAAATAAGCTTATCTGTCAATAGGTTTAAGTTAAGAATTGCAAAACTCATAATATTTTTCTCATATATGATAATATGAGCACAAATGGGCTTTTCTGTCACATATCCAATGAGATATATATGTAATGCATATATGCATGTGCATGTGCATGTGCATGTGTGTTTTGCCCACGAAGTAGGCAGATGAAAACTATGCAAGCTTTGTCCATTATACTTTTAAGGCCAATCGTAATATCTAAAAGAATATAATGCATACACATGTATTTCAGCACCTAAGGCTAAGGCATTGTTCCTTTGAAGAGTCAATAACTCAACCTGACTAAAAAGATTAGCAATCAAATGGAACAAACAGATTTATTATAACCATTATAGATCTCAATTTCACCAACAAACAACACACCTAAATGTATATAATTCCTCTTACCAATCCTGAATTCACCTCAAAATTCAGACCCAGCTCACCAAATTACCTCCAAACGTAGAAGCACTCCAATGTGTATAATTCCTCTTTTGATCAAAGGTTTATATAGATATATAAACAAATCCAATGACAGCAACCCACCAACAAAACTACTTCTATCAAGTCTTAAAACTCAAAACCCAATAAAAATTCTATTTTTTCTGGCAATAACAAACACAATTGGGTACAAACAAATCAACATAATTTGAAACACATCAACTATACATAAACACAATTACAAACTAATCGAAACCTATAATGGAATTGAAGTCACTATCAAAAAATAAAACACAAAAACACTAATAGATCAATGCGGAGCGATGTATACAGAGAGCTCTGAAACCGAAATGGTGTTTTTCAGAGAATTGTTTTAGAGCAATCCAAATAGCCAAAAATGATATCCAGAAAATACCTAATTAACAAATCAATTTAAGGTTTAGAAAAACAAAAAACAAAAATCAAAATCAAAATCAAAATGAGTACTCTGTTACTCTGGATATATGATCAAAGGTTAATCAAAATGAGTACTCTGGATATATGATCAAGGTTTAGAAAAATCAAAATCAAAATCAAAGCCCCAACTCTTCTGGATATATGATCAAAGCCACAAAACAATATTGAAATCAAAAAGGGTTGTAAGCAGTGGCAGAGCTAGGAATTTAATATAGGGGGGCACCCATTAATTACAATCTCAAAATTTTTCTTTCCCAATCAATAACAATAACATAATAATAATTTTTCAAGCGAATGTTAAACATTAAAAATTAATATCTATTACAAAAAGTTTTAAATTTTAAACTTTTACAATTGACCCCGGCGAGTTTTCATCTTTTGAAATCTTTCCATAATTGTATCATTGTCAATTCCATCAAAAATATATCTCTCAATGTAGACAACCAAGCTATCATTCATCCATTCATCACCCATTCGGTATCATTCATCCATTCATCACCCATTCGGTTCCACAACTGATTCTTCACAATATTCATAGCTGAAAATACCCTCTCAACAGTAGTAGTTGCAACAAGTAAGATTAATGCTAAAGTCAAGAGCAAATACACCAATGGATATACTTTGTCTCTTCTAGTCTCTACCATTTTCTTAGCAAGATCGGCAATTCCATTCAACATTGAGAACTCACTACTGGATAGCATGTCGATAATATATGTATCAAGTTGATCATTAAGTACCATGAGCTCCATTGAAGAAAATTCTTTGGGATAAAATTCAGCAAGATGAATTAACTTTTTCATGTCAAAACTAGAGAAAGAGTTAGATGGATTCAAACATGCCACACAAAGTAACAAATTAGTGTTCGACTCAGTGAAACGAGCATTTAGTTCTTGAATTTGCATATCCAAAACAGTGTAGAATAACTCAGCGCGATAGTAATGTAAGCTTGTAATTTCTTGAGCATTGCGCATTTTTCTCCCTCGAACTACAAACATATCTTCCATTTGGGGAACATCAATTTCATGCTTTTCACAAAAAGACAAAATATCATCAAGTAAAGATGTCCATCCACTCTCCCTCATCTCTTGGAGTCGTACTTTAGAAATTTGAACTAAATTCATGGCATTAACAATATCTTGATCTTTCCTTTATAGTGCTTGCGATAACTCACTTGTAATAGCCAATATCGTTTTCATCAAATGAAGGTTGAATACAAACTCAAATGATTGAATTGAGTAATACATTTGATTCTGCTCGTTGTTCTGAATTTGAATCATTATTTGAAATCATTTCAAGCACATCAATCACTGTTGAAAACATACTAGCCAAGCTGACTAAAGTACCATAGTGTGAACCCCAATGTGTATCACCAGCACATTTAAGATTAGTTTTTTGATTTAAGCCTTGCCCACTAGATAGCTCTCTAGTATTAAGTGCCTCAGCAACTTTTGCAGCTTGCTTCTCCCTAACAATATCTCGGAGTTTACATGATGTTTCAACAACATTCACCACATTAGAAACCAAAGTGAAAAGTAAAGCAATTTGATTATGATTCTTTGCCACGACTACAAGTGCCAATTGTAATTGATGAGCAAAACAATGAACATAATATGCACAAGGATTCTCTTTCAGTATAAGTGTTTTAAGACCATTGAACTCTCCTTGCATATTACTAGCCCCATCATATCCTTGCCCCCGCAATCTAAAAATACTCAATCCAAGTTTGGAGAATAAATTTTCCATAGCTTGTGTAAGTGAGAGAGCATTCGAATTAGCAACATGCTCAATACCCAAAAAGCGCTCAATCACTTGGCCTTTTTTGTTAACATATCGTATTACAACTGCCATTTGCTCCTTGATTGATATGTCACGGGCTTCATCAATCAAAACAGAAAAAAGTGCATCACCAAGATCTCTAATAATCACATTGATAGTTTCAAATGCGGCCACATTTACAATGTCTTTTTGAATATCAGGAGATGCCAACTTGAGATTTTGTGGAGCATTGCTCAATGCAACCATTTTGACATCTTCATTATGATCAGCAAGAAACTTGAGAAGTTCAAGAAAATTTCCTTGGTTACTTGAATTTTCAGATTCATCATGCCCATGAAACGCAAGTCCTTGTCTTAGAAGAAATTTAACGCAATCAACCGATGAATTCAAACGGGTTCGATACTCAATTCGAGCTTGATCAAATTGTTTGAAAAAAATCATTTTAATATGTTGGTTTTGGTTTAACAAGTCTTGACAGTTACTCGAAGCTTCATTATGAACACTATTGGGACTTCCAACATGAGTCTGAATTTTTTCTTTTTTCTTCCAATTTGAGAAACCCTTACCAACAAAAGAATCACCACCAGCTTGATCTCCAATATCGGGTTTGAAAAGATAACAACATAAACAAAATGCTGCATCTTTTGCTACACTATACTCCAACAAATTAGGAAATTCACTAAACCAAGCCTGATTAAATCGTCGAAGTTTTTGTCCAAATGATTTTGTGGAAAATTATGATCATAAGGTTGACAAGGACCTTTTTGTAGATATGCCCTACGAATTCGGTCTCGATCATTAGCATTATAGTCCATAATCCGAGGCCGTAGTCTTGGATCTGCAGGAAGGTCTACTAAGTTGATTTCTATGCAACTTTGTTTTGCGGAAGAATAATTTTCATCTTTTTGTTGAGAAATAGATGATTCCCACTTTGATTTTTTTTTGAAATATTTTTGCATGACTGTTTGAAAAAACTAAAAATCAAAATAAAAATTCATAATCAAAATCTCAAACCCCCCACAAATCAAAATCTTCAATTTTAATACCCACAAATCAAAATATCTAATTTTAATACAAATTAAAAAATTTAAATTAGTACAAATCACAACAAATCAAAAATTTTAATCTTAGCGCAAATTATAACAAATCAAAATTCCTAATTTAAATATTAATCACTGCAAATTAATATTTTTAATTTTAGCATAAATCAAATCCCTAATTTTAGCACAAACAACAACAAACCAAAATCCCTAATTTTAATATAAATCGCTATCAATTAAGATTCATAATTTTAACATATCAAAATCTCTTATTTTAACATAAATAATAACAAATAAAAAAATTTTACAAATCAAAACTTAACAAATAATTATAAATTAATACTCATAATTTTTATTTAAAAGTAAAAAAATAAAATAAAGTAACCTGTAAACAATGAAGAAAAGATACAAAGGTTGTAGTGTGGTCCCAAATCTATGTTGTGTGATCCTAATTTGGTGAATCGCGAGTTGGTAAATTGCAAAATAACAAAGGGAGACAAAGAAAATATGAAGATACTTCACAAGTACTGTGAATAAATAAAAAAATAAAGAATTTCATACACTTGTAGGGTTTTAGAGTTTTAACCTTGTTGTAATTGGAGTTGTGTGCACTCACCTAAAAAAAAGTTGTGTATCAATATTTGATTGGGATTGAGATTCCTAAAAAAAAATAATAATAATAAAAAATAAAAATAAAAATACAAACGTGGGTTCGTGCGTCTAGTGTGTGGTGTGTGTGTGTCAGTGGTCAGTGGGTTTGAATGTATGTGTGAAAGTAAAGGCAGATCACACTTAAAAATAAATAAATAAATAAATAAAATAAAAAATAAAATAAATATTCAAAAGTTAGGGGGGGCACGTGACTCCCCTGAGCCCAACCTCCCTCCGCCCCTGGTTGTAAGAGAATCTTACCTTGCGATGTCGATGAAGAGAATTGAAATCGAACAGTTGATGAAGAGGAGCGTGACGAAGGAGGAAGATGAGGAGCGTCGATTGTGATAGAGAGGGTGGGCTTCTGTTCAAGAAGAAGAACAGATAGTGAAAGAGAGAGAGCGAGAGAGAGAGAGAGAGAGAGAGAGAGAGAGAGATAGAGATAGAGATAGAGAGGGCAGGTGGGGGGGTTGAGACGTGGAGGAGCGTCGGGTGGGTTTTTTTGCTTCTGTTGAAGAAGAAGAACAGCGAGTGAGAGAGATGGAGAGAGGGAAGGTGGGGTGGGTGATTTCAGATTATTTATTTATAAAAAATGGTTAGTAGCCGAAAAGGAGGGGCTTGAAAGATATTGGTCGGATGTTTAAAAAAATTCAGACGGTTGGATAAAAACTTGTTTACCGTGGTTGTCATCTTTATCGACCGTGTCTGTTAGTTTTCTCGCCGGATGATCGGCCGGACGTCCGCTCGGTCGATCGACAAGATGAATTTCAAGTCATTCGAGCCAACCTCTTTTTCGGACTACCAAGCATTGTTCTTTATTTATTTTGACCAATGTTAGAAAAAGTGGTTATGAAACATTGTTTAATATTAAAATTTTTGTAAAGACCATTCATTTTTAAATTTAGTGAAGTGTTAAAAAGATGATTAGTTTATAATTAAATATTTATTAATTATTAACAAATTATCTTCCTAACACATCACTGAATCTAAAATGTGAAATTGTATATTTATGTGTCGTATTGGAGATAAACATAAATGGTGACACTTATTACAATAATGATAGGGTGATATATGAGGTGGTACATCAAAGGTAATTAATGTATCATTACTCTTTAAAAATTGTAACAAGTTAAAAAATTTGGGAAATGAAAATTGTTTTCAATTGGTTTGAAATGAGTCCTACTATAAACAAATTTATCCCCATGAAAAATATTAATAAATAAATAATTTTTGGGGGGACAAATGTGAAAGAAGCGGTTAATATTAAAATTTGTATAAAAAATATTTTAAAAACTAACAAGTTAAAAAATTTAAAGTTTGATGAAACTTATTTTGAAATTAGTGAAAAGTATAGCAATTTTTTTTTAAACAAATATCAAGATAATTATTTTAAGGATAAACTACACTCATTCCCCTTAAAGATTTGAGAAAAATATAATTAACTTCACACTTTTGATATAATTGAACTAATTTCCCTTGAGATTTTAATTCACACAATAGTTAAGTTATTTTTCATCAATAATTTATTACTCTTATGAATGAAAAATATTGTTGTCATTTTTTTTTATTTATCAAAATATGTATTTCTTTTTATTTATTATCCAATATTTATATTAGTTTCGGTCGTTTTACCTTAACTAAAATGGAGATCAATATGATTTTGTCAAAAGTATAAAATTAATGGCATTTTTTTCCCAACTTTTGGAGATGTGAGTGTAATTTATCCTTATTTTTCTAATAGGGACTAAATAATCTATCTTTGTTGATGACAAAGATTGACAAACCTTTTGATCTCTCAGTTCATAATATCTAAGAGTGACCAACAAAATTACTCTAGTTAATCGTCTTGCAAAAATGGTTTGGAAATTATTAATAGGTGAATGAGAAATTGATTCTAAAGAGCATGTTTTAAGTATGGCTTTAAGAGAAAATTTGTATAATTTAAAATTTAGTTTTCATTTAAATAGATATATTATTGTTTGGTTCAAAATTGAACCAGATTCGATACAAAATTTGAACCCATTTGTGACAGCAATCATGTCTATTCTATTGCACATATTCAATGGAAGAGTTGTCTCTTCATTGAAAAGTCACATTGACCATTCGAAGAGCTATCAATTCACTTAGTATAAATAGGCAGTCCCATTGCATTCATTTGGCATCGAATTCATCTTGTATTTCTTTCATTCGACACTCTGTCCTTTTTGTAAAGGAATTCTGCACAGCAAGGTTTGCCAGACTTGCAGTGGTAGTGCTACTTCTGCAATGTTCCATCACTGTATTTTAAGAGATGAACGTGTAATAAAAAATTCGTGAGCGCTGTAGCGAGAAATGAATTTGTCTTAAAAATATTATGTCCAATACAAGTCTCAATCAAATTATTTTTTGTTTCCTGATTTATACAATCTATTTGAAATATTTTTTGATTCTCAGTATATGGTTTGATTTAATTTTATCCAAACAAATTAAGTTATTGTCAACTTCTATTTTTTATATCATTTAGTAATATTTTTAGTACAAGGTACTGTCTCAACAAATCATTTCTCTTTAAATATATATATATATTAATTGTAAATATATATATACCTAGTATACATACATACCCTATCTTCTAACTGTTTCGCTACTTCTATCCAATCGTCTTTTTGTTTGTTTAATTAATCCTGTTTTCAGTTCATCTTAATCACCCACAAGATCAGTCTGTTCTATCCACCTAGTTTAAGTCACCCACTTCTTCCCAGTCTTGTGTAAGTCCTTCGGTTTAGGCAGAGTCAGACTTTGGGGTTTTGTCATTTTTGAATGTAAAGTTTGTTGATTAAATTTAATCGTTTTTCTTCAGGATTATTGGATTGAGATGGACGTGATTGGTTATCAAATATTAAGTTATCCGGATTAGGGTCAAATTCATGTTCAGATTCATGTGGGGATTCGTGCTCATTAGTTTGGAAATTATCTAAACTTTTATCAAGTTTTAGGGCAATAATTTCATCTTCGAGTGATTTATCTTTACATTGCAAGTCTTTGACTTGTTGTTTAATCTGATTGATTTCGTGTTGTAAATCTTGTAATGTAACTTCTTTTTGTTTATTTTTAAATCTTTCTAAAGTTTTGGATAGGCTAATTATTGGCTTATCAAATTTTGGTTTGGTATCCGAATGGATTAATAGGGATTTTAATTTATCAGTGTATTTTTGTTTTAATTTTGGATCATCTAATTTACCAATGAGATCAATAAGAGCAGATTCTTCTTGAGTAGTTTTGGTAAGGACAGTAATTTGTTTAACTGGTTTACAACAAACATCATTACATCCGATATTAATACTATTATCAGAATCATCACTAGGGGATTGGTAGTCAGATGAGGTATTATCAGGTTGATCAGAAGAGGAAGAACTACTAATAGTTTGATTTAATTGAAAGATTTCATATAATTGATTTTTGGAGTTATCATCAATTTGGAGTTGATTAACTTTGTCTTTTAATTTTTGTTTGTCTTTACATTTATTTGAATAATGTCCTTTTTGTCCACAATTATAACAAGTAACATCTTTAGTTGATTTAGATTTGGGATGGGATTTGGATTTATAATATTTCTTTTTGGGTTTAGTATAAAATTTATCATTGGATTTAGAAGGGGTATAGTTCGTCTTATATTTATATTTATTGGAATGTTTGTATGATGATTTATGTTTAGAATATTTGTGTGATTTTCTTCGAGAGGGTGCAACAGGAGGTAAACCATATTGTTCACAGAAATTGCCTATTCGTATTTAGCTTTATGTTTATCTTTATTAGCTTTTTGGGTAAGTTTGAGGTCAATACACATTTTTAAACCTTCTTTTTGAATAGTGCTAATAATATCACCATACGTGAGGTTATCATATTCAATAACACCAGTGGGTTGACTAAGAACATCTCTAATTTTATGGGCAAATAAGCTAGGTAATCCATTAATAAATTTTTCTTTCCAAAATGATTTAGTACAGTCTTCTCTTAACATGACTCGAGAGGTAAATACATCTTTATACCATCTAAAATCACTTAAGGTTGGACAGTTAAGATTACTGAGTTGATCATGTATTCGAGAATATATATTTGTAGGGGTACCAATAAAATGTCGAACTATTGTGTATATTAGTTGATTAATACCATCAGGGTGACAACATCCTATAGATTCATCAAAAAGAGGGAGACCATTTTCATCAGTTTGATTGGCATAGATGATTGTATCACGTTGTTCTTCAGTAAGGTATTTTTCCCGCCAGGATTTGAGCATACCAGTAAAACCAGAGGTGAGTAAGGAAACAATTTCAGGTTGAGAGTATTGGGGATAATTACTGAGATAACTATTGGCGACCATAGATAAATGATTTAATTTTTGAAGGATTTGATCTTCACTGAGACCATCAATATTCCATTCGTATAATTTTTTAGCAGAAACAGAAAATTGATTATTAATATTTGTTTTTTCAAATTGGAGATCAACAGGAGTTGGTTTAGAATACCAGTTTTTGGTATTGTGAGGATTAACTTTGGGATAGTGGATTTTATTCAGATGAGAAGATTGAAATTGTTGAGCTAATTGATTTATTTCATTATCAGTAGTGTCAGTGTCAGATTGATCAAAAATAGTGTTGGTATAAGGTTGTTGATTTAACACAGTAAGACCTTTATCTTTGGAAGTAGAAGTATCATTGGGAGTTAGTTTAGTAAATAATTGTTCAATAGCTTTGACAGTAGATTGGTCATTAGTAACTAGACTGGTTCGTTTCGAACGATGATTAGGGAGATTAAGCAAAGGTTGATCTAGGGTTTTAGTAGGTTTCGTAGATTGTTCTTCGAGATTAACTTCTAATTTATCTAATTGTTTACCAATTGTTTTTAAACATTGATTAGTATAATTATTTTGTTCAATAACTTTTTTCATTTCAGAATCATTACCAGGTAATTTGAAAGGAAAGGCGGGGACTTCAGAACCTTGGTGATCAATAATTATATTTTCTAAAGGAGGATGATTAGAACTCACAGAAGTAGTAGGAGAAGTTTTCCACTTATGTTTGGTGATTGTATTAATATTTTTGTAATATTGATCCATATAATCAAAGAAAGATAATTCAAAACCATATTGAACCATAAAATCATACCATTTTCTAGTTATTCGAGATTGTTGAGCAGAATCATATTTAGCACGATAAGCATGTCGTTTAGTTCTATTTTCTTTGGATCTAAATTCAATGAGTAATTTATCTAAATTAGGTTGAAAATCTTTTTTAATTGTCATTAACTGGGGATTCACAGGTGGTATAAATTCTTCAAAATCTGTTTGAGTTGGGGAATTATTTGAAGCTATGTCTTCTTCAGGGAAATGTGAGGTAGTAGTATAAACAGGTTTACTGATTTGAGAAGTTGTAGAATTATCAATTCCTTTTAATTTATTTTTTGAAATTGGATTAGTAGGACCAACATGGATTTGACTATTTTTTCGAAATAACGGAATGTTAAATATTTCGTCTTCAGTTGATATTTCAGAAGGGACACTAGATGTACTATGTCTAGAAGACTGACTGCGATTAAATTTAATATTAACGGAACCATCAGTATTTTGCTGGATATGTTTAATATCTTGGATTGAAGATTGTTGTTGATTATGTTTATAATTTTCATTGACAGTAACCCATTGATCAGGTAAATTAATATCTTTCCATTCAATCATGTGAGGAATATTAATGTTTGATTCATTAGTACTACTGCTTTGGATTAGTAAAGTTTTATCTTTTGGACTTTTATGTAAAGCATGAACATTTAAATTAGTTTGCATACATTTATAATGAACACGATAAATTAAAGCAATATTATGAGAAGAATCTAACATTTCAGTATATTCACCATGTAATTGAATGTTCAATGTTAATGCCTTGAGAATATGTGGATCTCTTAAACTTAATGTAAAATCAGGAAAACAGTTAAAATGGACAGGACCCTTATTAAGACCAGTTTCCATCATGCCCATTAAACTAGCATTGTAATTAAGAAACCGGGCATCTCTTAAACAGAGTAAAACAGAAGTATTTTGTCCTATCATTGTTAATGGATTGACACCAATTTGAATTAAACCAATATGCATAAAATTATATCCACGATCTAAATGTCGTTTGATTAATTTTTTATCAAATAACTGACAGGTTTCTCTTGGTTTTTCGAGAGCATAAACTTATTCAATAGTTTTAACATGGAGAGTAACTTTAAAAACATTTTGTAAAAATGAAGTTTGATAAATTTCTTTAATAGGCAGTTTTGGAATATTCCATCCAGAATTAATTGAATCATTTTGTATTTCAACATCTTCTTCATTAATTAAGATTCCTGGATTAGGTATGGAAGGCAAAGTTGTTGACCTAGAACTGACTGATGAGTTACTTCTAAATAATCGATTCATTGTTTTGTTTTAATTAACCAGTTTTACAGATATCTTAATACATACCCTATTCTTGTCAATTTTATCACATACCTAGTATACATACATACCCTATCTTTAAACCCCAAAGTCTGACTCTGCCTAAACCGAAGGACTTACACAAGACTGGGAAGAAGTGGGTGACTTAAACTAGGTGGATAGAACAGACTGATCTTGTGGGTGATTAAGATGAACTGAAAACAGGATTAATTAAACAAACAACAAAGACGATTGGATAGAAGTAGCTAAATAGTTAGAAACAGGATACAACATCACTTGGCTCTGATACCAAAAGGACGGAAGCAGCATATATATGAAGGAAGATGGATTAAGAAATCAAAATAATTGTTAATAATTTTGAATTAGAATTAATTGCCTTAATTGATACTGGTGCTGATTTAAATTGCATACAAGAAGGATTACTTCCTACTACATATTATGAAAAATGTCAAGAAAAATTAACTTCTGCTAATGGTACTAAAATGCATATCAAATATAAATTACCAAAAGTACATGTTTGCCAAGACAATGTATGTTTTAAAACCTCCTTTGTTCTAGTTACCAATATGACTGATAAAATTATTTTAGGATCTCAATTTATCTATTTATTATATCCTTTTACTACATCTAGTACAGGAATAACTACGCATGTTTTAGGACAACCTGTTACGTTCAAATTTTTATCTCCTCCTAAACTATTACACTTAAACCAATTAAAAGATTGTTCTATTTCTCATCAAATTAACCGCCTGACTCGACATTTAAAATTTCTTAAAGAAGAAATAAATCACAAACGTATTGACCAACAATTAACCAATCCCGTTCTTGTTTCCCAAATTAATGATTTTAAATTAAAACTTGAATCAACTGTTTGCTCCACTTTACCTACTGCATTTTGGCATAGGAAAAAACATGTAGTTACCTTACCATATATTAAAAATTTTGATGAAAGACATATCCCTACTAAATCTAGACCAATTCAAATGAATCATGAATTACTTGAAATGTGCAAAAAAGAAATTAATGACTTACTACAAAATCGAATCATTAGTCCAAGTAAATCACCATGGTCTTGCTCTGCTTTTTATGTTAATAAAAATGCTGAATTAGAACGCGGTGTTCCTCGCTTAGTTATCAATTATAAACCTTTGAATGATGTCTTAGAATGGATTCGGTATCCTATTCCTAATAAAAAAGATTTAATTAAACGACTTAGTCAAGCCGTTATTTTTAGTAAATTCGATTTAAAAAGTGGTTTTTGGCAAATACAAATTCATCCTAAAGATCGATATAAAACTGCATTCAATACACCCTTCGGTCAATATGAATGGAATGTCATGCCATTTGGTTTAAAAAATGCTCCTAGCGAATTTCAACATATCATGAATGACATATTCAACCCTTTTAGTCATTTTTCCATTGTTTACATTGACGATATATTAATTTTTTCAAAATCACTTAGTGAACATTGGAAACATTTAACTGCATTCTTTTACACAATTAAAAGTCATGGTCTTGTTATTTCTGCTCCTAAAATTAAATTATTTCAAACTAAAGTTCGCTTTTTAGGATATTATATTCATCATCATACTATCCTACCCATTAGTAGATCCATTGAATTTGCATCCAAATTTCCTGATGAAATTCTTGATAAAACTCAATTACAACGGTTCTTAGGTTCCCTCAATTATATTGCTGAATTTTATAAAGACCTTAGGAAAACTTGTCAACCTCTATTTGATAGGTTAAAGGATAATCCTCCTCCCTGGTCTTCTGTTCATACTTCTATTGTCCAACAAGTCACACAATATGTCAAGTCCCTTCCTTGTCTTGGTATTCCCACTGAAAATTCATTCAAACTTATTCAGACTGATGCCTCCGATATTGGTTATGGTGGCATTCTACTTCAGCAACTTACTCCTCAATTATCTGAACAAATTGTTCGCTATCATTCTGGTGTCTGGAATAAAGCACAATTCAATTATAGTACTATTAAAAAAGAAATTTTATCTACTGTTTTATGTATTCAAAAATTTCAAGATGATATTTTAAATCAAAAATTCTTACTTCGTGTTGATTGCAAATCTGCTAAATATGTTCTTGAAAAAGATGTTCAAAATCTTGCTAGTAAACAAATTTTTGCTCGTTGGCAAGCTATTTTAAGTATTTTTGATTTTGATATTACCTATATACCTGGTTGTCAAAATTCCCTACCTGATTTTCTTACCCGGGAATTTTTACAGGGGGGTAAGGGATGACTACACCATTTACTGCTTACCATAAATCCCGAATTACCTATTTCAAAACCCTCATTAAACAACTTACTCATCGCATTCACCGCCTCAAATTAGCTCGACCAACTACCAAAAGAGCCCAATACATCAATTACCAACAGATTCAAGCTCGCCGCAATTTACTTGCTCACAATTACAATTGTTTACATCATCACCAAGATTATCTAGATCTTCTTTCTGGTTGCTAATCCTTGTTTCTTATTTCACAGATGTCTCGCCCAAGGCCTCCTTCCAAGGCTTTGGTCCCATCTTCCAGTAAACCAAATCAACTTCTTGTTCCCCCTCCTTTGGAGTCAGTTACCCCATCTTATTCACTTGAAATGGTTAACCGTTACCAAGCTCTTGGTAACCTTTGTCGCCCTGATTACTCTACTGCATTGGCTTCTGATCCTTTTGCTCCTAGTCAATCAGTTTCAGTCACTCCATTCCCAGCTAACCCAGTTCGGTCATCCAAAACTAAATACACCAAATCACATATTACTAACCTATTCTATAAAGAACCCAGTCACCCAAAGAGCCAAATTCTTAATGACATTGCTAAATCCTATTTTGGTCCTGGATGCCATTTCACCCTTTCACATCCAGAGAAAACACTCTCTTATTACAAAGATATTTTGCTTCATCATCAATCAATCCTGATCAAACCAATCCAAGATCGCACTTATGCTTATAAGATTCTGTACCATTCCATTTATATTCACAACATTGTTTCCTTAGCTGAATGGGGTCCTCCATACCAGCTTCGTGATTTGCCTGGTCATTCTATTCAGTATAATTACCATGATTACATAGATGCCTGGTTCAAGATTTTCTTGTACCAGAATGAAACTTTTAGCCATTCTTGGTTCATTTCATTTGATCAAAAATTCTAGTCTGAATTACCTTCTTGGTTTCTGAGATGGTGGAGTCACTATGGTGCCATTTCAGATATCCTCCCTGAAAATCTGCTTGAATTAATCAACTATTTTGCTGCTGTTTACCCATTCACCACTCATCAGAAATCATTCCCAATATTGTTAATTTTTATAGCCAAGTATAAAATCCCTTGGATATTCAAATGGCATTATGGGATTGATGGTAACATAATTATCCGACATCACTCAGTTAAATGGTGGGCTAAATTCAATTTGCCCCGCATATTTGAAATTGTTCATGAAGAATTTCCATCTGATCAATGTGCTCCAACCCCTGCAATGGTCAAAGCCCAGCAGATCCCAACTGCTGCAATCAGTCAAAGAAGTCAGCCCAGCCTTCCTCCAATCAATCTTGGAAGCCCCTCATCCAGTGGTTCCAAGCCCAAATCCAAAACATTTGTTTACCCATTCACCACTCATCAGAAATCATTCCCATGTTTACCCATTCACCACTCATCAGAAATCATTCCCAATATTGTTAATTTTTATAGCCAAGTATAAAATCCCTTGGATATTCAAATGGCATTATGGGATTGATGGTAACATAATTATCCGACATCACTCAGTTAAATGGTGGACTAAATTCAATTTGCCCCGCATATTTGAAATTGTTCAAGAAGAATTCCCATCTGATCAATATGCTCCAACTCCTGCAATGGTCAAAGCCCAGCAGATCCCAACTGCTGCAATCAGTCAAGGAAGTCAGCCCAGTCTTCCTCCAATCAATCTTGGAAGCCCATCATCTAGTGATTCCAAGCCCAAATCCAAAACAGTCCAATCAACACATTCAAGATCAAAGGCTAAGTCCAAAGCTCCTGCAGCTCCGGTCCAGCCCAAAGACCAGCCCAAGTCCAAAGCAAAATCCAAAGCAAAGGCTCAGCCCATTTCACCCCCTCCTCAGTCCAAAGTTAAATCAACAGTCAAGCCCAAGTTATCTAGAGAGGAACTGCTCCAATTAGCACGACAAATTACAAATCAAGCTGAAGCCCAATCTGCTTCCAGTTCAGACCATTCAGAAGAAGGTTCAGTCAGCATACATTCTTCTGAAGAATCAACTAATCAATATTCCGGTCCAGAGTTCCAAGATGCTCAGGATCCATTTGCTTAAATCAACATAGGATTCCCTATAAATACAAATTAGCTTCAATCAATACTCTTTTGAGAAAAGCTGCTAATTTATATTTATATTGATTCCTTTACCCACATGTTCCACCGAAAGTGATGAATAGTAAAAGTTACTGTTCACTTTTACTGTTCACTATCACTATTCAATCAATCAACTTTTGCTAAAGGCTAATCATCCGTGCAATCACTCCACCGAAAGCAACCGACAGCATCTACTTTGTCC